ATATAGTATTTCCAAAGGTAGCTTCAATAATAGATCCATTACAAATCATTTCACAGGGGATTTGAATAATATCCATTCCTAAATGAAAACTGCTATCAAGTTTGCCATCTCCAAGTTTTACCAACCATCCACTATAAGCAGAATCCTCTGATCTCATATTTGTTGTAAGAGACAACTTTCTGAAACATCCCCAAACACTGAAGTACTTTACACTCGTTTGTACTATGGCCAATCAACAATTAAACATTTTTATCTTATTGAGGCAAGAACACCTAATGTGAGATCTCCCCTCAACACACTTTTATTTTATGTACACACAGTAGCATTGTTAACTATGGATATAATGTTGTTCAGCATATCTCACGATCTTCTCCCTACTTGGTAAACTTTCACTTGGGGTTTATTCATTCACTCAGTTGTTCATTCAGCAAACACTTCCTGAGAGTCTACAATGTACTGGAAACAAGTGAGGAGCTACAGCGAGAACCGGACAGGCTTGGTTCCTGTCCTTAATGCTCCCCCGGGCTAGTAGACTGATGCATAAGTTGCTTGACTACAATTGCTTTAAAATGCCATGTTTTTGTCTCTTAAACAAGTACCCTGGGTTTTCCCATCACATAATCAACTCTCCAAATGTCACAGGACAAAGGCTACAATTAAAAACACATGATTAAAGACCCGTGTGCCAAAACAGGATCCCAGCAGTGCAATCCAAAACCGCACAACAGAGGACATTACTTGCACTTTACGACTCAATTAACTATTTAATGTGTGATTTGGGATGTCTGGCTTAGGGGACTGAAATGGCAGAAAGGGAAGATACAGTGAGGCTTGTGTTGGGGTTGGGGACAGAGAAATAGATTCCTAGGCAAAAACAGTGACTTCATCTTGGGGAATGTGACTCCAGAAAATAAAAAGAGTTGCACTAGGGTTGTATTCATTTACATCATATCACAGGAAAAATGAGCCCAGAAAGAAGTGAGGAGTCATGCTTTGGACACATTGATCAAGAGCATGTTTAAAGGCAAAGATGAAGTCTGTGCAGAAGATTAAAGTGTTAGAGAAATGTGGGGCATCATTATTATTGTATCATGTGATTTTTGGATTGTTGAAAACGATGTTCTATCCCGTGGTTGGCAAACTGCAGCTCGCGACATGTGGCTCTTTGGCCCCTTGAGTGTGGCTCTTCCACAAAATACCATGTGGGGGTGCGCAGGTACAGTGCGATTGAAACTTCGTGGCCCATGCGCAGAAGTCAGTATTTTGTGGAAGAGCCGGTATTTTGTGGAAGAGCCACACTCAAGGGGCCAAAGAGCCACATGTGGCTCGCGAGCCGCAGTTTGCCGACCACCGGTCTATACCATCTAGGTACCATTTGGGAGAGTTAGTGGTCATGAGAGAGTCTGGGAAGAACTAAGGAGCATGAGAGAACACTCAGACTGCACTGTAATGAATGCGCTCAGGATTCCACGGGCATAACAATATTAAGAGCCGGCTGGCAGAAGTGCAAGTGAGAAGAGCATGAATCCATCCATGCTGGACCAGGGTAGTGCCATTCAGGGGGCTCCCCCAACAGTGTCTGGAGTTTGAACACCAGTGCCTTCCAGACGTGTTTTCTCACTTCCCCATCCTCCCAGCCCTCTGCAGACCTACACAACCACAGCGGGTATCTGTCAGTGGTTAATATTCAGTGCGTCCTGGACTCTGTACTGTGATGAGGCACAATGATTACCAGACATGTGGCAGGTGGCACTTCACCTTGACAATTCCCCTCTCCTAACTGTAAGATATTTTGACCTTTTCTCCTTTTCCTTAAGATGGCAAGGAAATGTTTTTAGTTTTTGCTCTTTTCAGCATCTAACAAATGAAATACTTTTTCTATCGTTACAGTAGTTACACCTAATTGAAATTGATTTTATTTATTCTCCCTCTATTAATAATATTTTATTTTAGTCCTAATTTACTCTATTCCCTTGTGTAATTTATTTTCTGGCCTCAAAAATAGTAAACACTTATCTGTTGATTTTTTACAAACTCCCATACCAGATGAATCCACGGGCCAGGACTAGCACGGCTTTGCCTGTCAAAGCTTCAGAATAACAATGGATTTGGAGGGGAGTAAGAGATCAACCGAAGGACTTGTATGCATGCATATAAGCATAACTAATGGACATAAGACACTGGGGGGTAAGGGAGGGCAGGGGATTGTCAAGGGCGGGGGGGGGGAAGGACACATATGTAATACCCTTTGTAATACTTATTATAATATTTTTTAAAAAAGAATAATAAAAAAAAGTAAAAACAAAACAAAACAATGGATTTGAAATGTACAGTTCAAATATGACAGAGCTTTTCAGTTCACATACTGATATCAGTTCAATAGGAGACAATACATTTTGTTTCTAAATTTTGGCTGTGTAATTTTTGTTAAATGTTTCAGCTTGCCTTCTAAAAACTTACCAATATACGAAAGTAACAGTGTGGATACAAGCAATTAGACTTCTTGAAACTCTCTCTCTTTTTCTTGCAACATACTGAAAAACAACAAGAAAAAATGCTTATTTGCTTGTGGACAGAAATTCTGACATGATCTAAGCATTTTAAAAGGCAGGTCTTTTTTTCTATAAACACAGTAACAAAAGGTTGCAAAGTTGAGTAGGAAGCTTACCTTCATAAGTATAACTATAAGGATGAGGGAAGAATTTATCTGCCTCATAACAGTTTCCCAAGTAGATTTTTAAATTCTCTATGCATATATACATACTAAAAATGCTTACGTGTATTTAACATGCGAATCTGTATATACAGGCATGATTTGAGAGAAAGTAACACGACAAATGAAAATCAAACCTGAACATAAAATCAAAGTATCAGTATTGGGCAATATGGCATAAGATAAACAAATGATCAGGGTCAGCTACAGTAAATGGAAAGGTATCTTAAAATAATTTTTATATTTGGCTTTGGAGAAAATAATAGGTTGGGAAAAGTTAAGGGCTCTAAAAACTAGAATGATGGCAAACATATTAAGTATGCAAAAGAAAAGTAACAAAGTATCTTGACTTGGAAGTGATGTTATGAGCCAAAATTTAAGGAAGAATGAGACAAATGTAGAGTTTAGAGGGGCTAAGAAAAAGAAACATTCTGTGGCAGCAACTCAGGCAAAACATAATAAAGATTTGGATGAAGATAATCACTATGGCCAAAGAAAAAGCTAAGCTTGTGAGAGATTTGAGAGAGGAATCAGTGTGTCTTGGTAACAGTGTGGAAAAGAAGAATAAGCAAACGTGCCTACCAAGCTCCATGACCAGGAGTCTGAGCAAGAAATAAAGTAGAGAGGACCAGTTCTGACACCCAAGGGTTGTGAAGGTGTTCTACAGCTAAATGGAGATGTAGGCTTGAAGAAGGAGTGAGGGGTTAGAAGTGTGGACAAAGTCTTAGAGGGCCCTGGCTGGGGGATGCTATTATAAGAGTGAACCACTTTTTAAAAAAATATATATTTTATTGATTTTTTACAGAGAGGAAGGGAGAGGGATAGAGAGTTAGAAACATCGATGAAAGAGAAGCATTGATCAGCTGCCTCCTGCCCCCCCCCCCCTGGCCTGCCCCCCCCCCCCCCACTGGGGATGTGCCCTTGACGGGAATCGAACCTGGGACCCTTCAGTCCCCAGGCCGACGCTCTATCCAGAGAGCCAAACCGGCTAGGCTGAACCACTTCTTATAGGTATTATGAGCATGTGTATGATACATGAAATGCCAATGCCAAGCTTACTGGTGCACACACTTAGTAAAACAAAATACCTTATCTCATTATCCTCTTCATTAATCTGTATATTTTCAACTGCCCTTGTAAGATTTGGTTGTTTCTTCTGGAAAAAGAACAGTGATACATATTATAAAAATATCAGTGCATAATATACTATTTCAGAGGTTAGTGGTCTCTACCTTTATCTTTTGTCAATAACTCCAGTAACAGTTGTCTTCAGCATGCAGCATGTAAAATATTTTTCCATTAAGAAATGATAAGAAATGCATGGTATTATCGACTCAACATTTTTAGAATATGGGAGGCAAAAAAGTAATAAAGAAACTGAAAGATTTAAACAGTAATCAAATTCAAAAGACATTTCAAAAAGCTGAGTCACAATGATTTAGCACATTTTAAACTTTTAGACAGGCTTCAATAAGAAGAGAACAAAGGAGTAGAAATCCAAATTAGCAGATAATACAAATGACATTTCTGTTTGGCTTTGTAAGATTTTCAGCATATTCTCCTTCTATTTTATATTTAGTTAAAGCTATTAAAACCAGTTGCATTTCTCCAGTCTGCATTCTCAGCCAGAGGAGTGGTCTCCCAAGCATAGTAGGTAATGGGAAGAAACCTTTCTAAGATTTTAATTTTCTTGTAACTAAGTTAAGGTTGAACTTCATTTATTTTATCATTTTCTTGGTGAGATCCTTTCTCAGAAAAGGGCAGTTTGTTCGTTAATCACTTATGTAACTATAGTAAGAAGTAGTAACTATATAAAGTTCAGAAAGTTTCTGATCAAAAAAAACAAAAACAACACTTACCTTCCAGTATAAGGCTCCAAAACCAAAGCCAACTAAAAGAGAGAAGAATGCTGGCAACGTCATGGCTGCCCATTGCAGCTTGGAGTCTCCAATGGAATTCAAGGCCTTCCCTGTAATTTAAATAGCACAGTGGTGAACACAGCATATCCATGCTGGGGTTCTGCTCTATCGCTCTGGTAGTTCCCACCTGTTTCTGTAACACGCTCTTGACCTCTCTCTGTTTAAAATATTTAAACCATGATTTTTCTGCTGAGTATTGTTTGGGAATGGCAGTATAAATCCACGCATTCTCCAAAAGGTAAATAAATTGAAAAAGAGAAAAAACCCACAGACAAAAGGAAATTTGACTTGGTTGATATAGATACATAGGGGATGCAGACGGGATGTGTTCCTGGGTTTGGGGGTGGGAGGGTGATTTGTACTACCAAGCAAATCCATCTTCTGTGGCTTTATCTTCTAATATCTTTCACTTTCTCATTCTTGATATCTACCCAAGCAATTTTGTAAGGAGACATTTTGTAATCCAGATCAAGGTCTGCAAGCACTGTCATTCTGCATGCATTGTGGTTAGATTACTTTTTGGTACCTTATGCTTAGAATCATGCTGTCTCTCATTGCATCTTCAACACACAGTTACTGGATGCCAGGCAGTAACTGACACTGTGCTATGGGCTAAAGCAGGGATGGGGAACCTTTTTTCTGCCAAGGGCCATTTAGATATTTATAACATCATTTGCGGGCCATATAAATTTATCAACTAAAAATTAGCCTGCTATATTTGGTCAAACATTTAATTAACTCACCCCTAATGCCTTGGCAGGGCCAGACCAAATGATTTTGCAGGCCTTATATGGCCCTTGGGCTGGATGTTCCCCACCTCTACCCGCTAAGGTGCGATTTCTCAGAATTCTTATGTTGAAAAGCCTGAGACTATTGAACATTAACAAATGGCTGAAAGCACCAGTGTCTCCCATTGCTTACTCTAAATAATAACTTAGTGAGAGAGAAGACATATGTTAGCATGGAACACCTTCCTTGTTCCTGCTTTGCTCTTCCAATAGAAGCAGGGTGACTCATAACTTCAACAAAACACTTCTCCCACAAGGGTCTCTACCTCCCCACACAAAGCTTAACATTTTGACAGAGTTTTCTCTGTTTCTTGACAGGGAACAGCTTTGTTGTTTGGAAACACTGACATGTGCCATTTTGGAAGTTAAAAATCTCAGTTTTCTTTTAAAGATGCAATAAGTTTGGAAATTATACAGTTTCAATGATTGATCAAAATGTAAACTAATCCAAGATAAAGCAACTGCTTTGGGCTATGATATTTTACCATGTTATCTGAGTTACTGTCAGCCCCTACACTCACCTATTTAACATATAAAGTACCTAAATATAGAACATAATACAAAAGAGCTGAATCACTGTAGATTTAGCAATATTTAGGAAAAAATAAACTCATAAATTTAACCTGAGAGGCAAGAAACAAATCTTATCTACTCTAGTGAGAACAGGAATTGCCTATTTTCCCATCATTTATAAAGTGAAAGTAGAAAATTTGCCAAATTTATGATTCCTGTTTCCAAAGAGGCTCTGGTAATAGGATATGTGTGTGTGTGTGTGTGTGTGTGTGTGCGCGCGCGCGCACGCACATGTTGGGGGGCAGTGAGTGGTGGTAGGAATGTAGTGTAAGGGACAGTGGGACTGGGTAGGGAAGTGGGGTCTTCCATTCACATAACAATGAATCGCTTCCTTAAGACTTGATTAGCAGTTTTTCTGGTCCAGCCCACATCCTACCATCCCCATGGGAAATACAGTTTAAGCATCTTAAATTGGAGCTCAACATGAATTCTCTCACCAAAATAAGTCTGAGGTAAAAAATGGGATTTGGTATAACTGAAGTGTTACTATTATTACAATAATAGTTACTTTAAGGGTTATGTGCACTAATTTGGGATTTAACCACCATTTATAAAAGTGTTTCCTAAAAGAAAATGGGTTCAGAATTTTACATGCAATTCCTACCATTTTAGGAATTTTATTTTACTGTCTATAAATGATTAAACTGTGTGTGTGTGCTCCAGTAACGTGTTTGAATTTTCCTTACTAGTCAACCTGCTGTGACCCACACTCGATACTGGGGTGTAATTTTGATAAATTTGACCAGGTCACCTCCTTGAGGAGCCCTGACCAATGTCTAAAGTGAGAACAAAGGAACCTGTTGACTTTTGCCCCCCAGGTCCCATGGAAAACCAAAGAGCTAGGATGGTGCTATGTAGAACGCCATGAGCTACATTTGGGCAGCCACATGCCCCGGAATCAAGGCAGCCGAATGCCGTTTGCCCTGTTTTATCCAAAGGCCAAATCTTGAACTTCACCCTTCAGACCAGAGCAGAGACCACACCCACTAACAAAAAAGCATAAGGAACTTACTAGAGAGTGAGGTCTTCTGGGATTCCCCACTTAAAATCTTTCTCAGGTGGAAGGACAAGCCCCTAAGGCAGGTGTTCCAAACAAAGCCCTAACAAGGAAACCTAACAAGGAAATCTTACTTCTCTCTCTGAGTACTGTGGCCTTTTAACCACTTGGAAAGTCCCACCCCAGGACTCTGGCCCTCAGCAAAGCCCTGAAAACTGCCCATCCCTCCAGCAGCAGCCTGGTGAAGACTGGGAGGCAATGGGACCACGGGAACTGGGCTTCACCTCCCATAGAGGTCTAGAGGTCAAGGTTTCTTCAATTTTGTTATTGCTTCTGTTAATGCAAGTAGCTTAATATCCAAGCCTTTGGTTCTCTCTAGTGATACTGCCATATCTCTTGCAGGGAGAGAAAAAATGTTATCAGAAAAGGCTTGCTTGCACTTCTAGGGCCTGACTCCCGACACTTGCTCCTGCTGCTTTCCAAGGATCAGTAAGATTTGAATCAGGCTCCTCAAGGCCTACATAAGGGTGCTTGGGGCCAAAGCCCAAGCCAGTAACAAAGCTTTGCTTTTAAGTAAAGGTGGCTCAAAGAAACCGTATGGAGTGAGGGAGCTCATCTGGATAGGATTTGAGTAATCCCAAATTCCTGGGTTGTTAACATATTAACTGTATCTCAGTATTACCAAAACTTTCCACTGTCCAAAATTCATGGGAACTGACTTGTTTGGTTTGACTAATAATACCCAACATCTGTACAAATACACAACACAAAAAGTATGCCTCGAATTTGTGGAGCGCCTTTTTAGAGTGAGTCTGTAAGTACCACGCCTGTGAACAGGGATCTCTTGGTGCTTAGCAAACATGCTACGCGGTGCTGCTCCTGGGTTCAGACCCAAAGCTCACAGGCTTTCCAATCACTGACCCACAGCCTCAGTGCATCCAGTTGTTCTAATAATTAATGATGAACACATACTACACGTCAGACATGGCTCCAAGTATATGTGTGCTGACATTTGAAATTCAGAGAAACCCTATGAAGGATGCATTATGCTCCATTTTACTGGGGAGTCCAGAGGAATTAAGTACCTGGCCAAGGTCACACAGCCAGGCAGGGGCTGGGATATAACCCCAAGGCAGTCTGACTTGAGACTGTATTTCTTGAAGAAGATGTATACAGTAATGTCAAAGCAAGGATATCTTTCTACATCACTTAAATACTGTCTGCAAGGATCTCAAACTTTTTAGATATCCTTTTAGCCTGGTACAAAGATGTTACTATGACTTTGAAAATACAACTCCTTTGGATAACTTGGATCGCCTTTACAAGCTACAGAGAGGACACGCACATCTCTGGACTACTCCTTCATATGGCCCAGTCCTCTGCTTAGCACGGTCACATTTTGGTTGTTATCTCTGAAAACTAGCATGCTTTCTCCATATTTCCCTGACCTTGTTTCCAAAACAGTCTTTCCTCCTTTATGCTATGACTAAAACAGTTACATATGTCTATTATTATATCTATTATAATATAAAGTTGGCCCTTGAATGCAGGAGTTAGGGGAACCAACCCCTCAGGCAGTCGAAAATCCGAGTATAACTTTTGACTCCCCCAAAACTTAAGTCTCCTTGGTATCCAAGGGGGACAGGTCAATGGGGAGGGGTTCTAGGACTCCCTGTGGATACACAAATCTGGAGATGCGCAAGTCCCCTATGTAAAATGGCATAGATCCGTTCATACAGTTTACCTTCCCATCCATGAACTCCCAACTGCAGATCAAAAAAAGTACAAGTATTTATTGAAAAAAAAATCCATGTATACTGTATGTGGATCTGCACACTTCAAATCTGTGTTGTTCAAGGGTCAACTGTATATTTGATATGTATGACAAAATTCTAAGTATTTCATTTATGTCTGTTTTTCTTATGAGAATGCAAGCTCCCTAAGAGCTGGTCTTGTGCGTGGGTACCTAAGTGTCCCATTTGTGAGTGACATCACCCGGCCAAAAGCTGCTTATTATGTAAGACCCATACTTTTTATAAAAAGGAAGGAAAAAAAAGCAAAATAAACAAACAAAAGGACTGGCCATTCATTTTGCAATTTAAAAAGCACATTCAGACTCAGAAGCATAGGACTGAATGGGTGTTCTGCATTCAGTTTGTCTTTTAAAGTAAGTAGAAAAGACTTTTCCTTCCAACCATGATGGTAGCAGATTAGCCTTCCCAAGCTAAAGAGTTACTATACTAGACAAATTATCTCAGGCAACTGTTTCAGACATTAGCCAACAGGCCGCACAAGAAAGAGCAAAAACACACACGGTGAAACCCAAATGGTCCTGATTTTCTGGCTGGGAAGCACCGAGGCGTGGAAGACAGAACCCAAGTGGGACTCAGAATTTTCACTGAGACAGGGATTCAGACTGAAGTTCAGGGTTGCTGATCTGGCTGGAGTTTGTGGAGCAGGGTAAGTTGCAGGAAAGGAGCTGAGCAGAGGAGTGCCAGAAATCTCCAGGAGATTCTGCTTAAGCCATCGGTCAAATAATAGGCTGCACATGCACAGGGAGAGACTTCATAGAACCTGTCGATACACTGAATGATGCCTGGGAAGCTATGACTTTATCAGAGACCTGAACAGTTCTGATGAGCAAGAATGGAGAGATTTTCTGGCTACTGACTTAAAAAGCAGGTAGTATATATAGAATGGACACAGGATGTCTCAGTGGGATGGAGAAGGACAGTGGGAGATTTTATAGTGCTACTCAGAACAGATTAATTAAAATACAATGAATACACACACACACACACACTTTAACCTAAAAGAGAGCTGGAAAGGAAGGACAGAGGATCAATAAACAGGGCAAACAGGAAACATAACAAGAACGGTAAACCCATACCCAACCATACCAATAGTTGTATCAAATATAAATAAACGAATGAAAAAACTTTAAATGTCAGAAAAACTAGATAAAATAGCAAGGCCCAACTATATCCTGTCTACCAGAGATATGCTTTAAAAAAAAGAAAATGCCAAATCTACAATGAAAGATTTTTTTAATTCCCCTCTCTCAGTAAATGACAAAAGTTAGACAAATAATGATATAAAAAAATCTGAATAACACTATCAACCACTCTGATTAAATTTGAGAATGCTACACATCATATCTGAATAATAGATATAGTCAAATTTCAAAATATTACAATGCATGTTCTCCAACAATAGAATTAATTTAGAAACCAGTAACAATAAGACATCTAGAGAAAATCCATTTTTAGACTTCAAACACGTGAATCAAAGAGGAAATCACAAGGAGAATTTAAAATATTGTTAAAGAAATGACAGTGGAAACAGAGCATATCAAAATGTGTGGGGTGCATCTAAAGCTGCTTACAAAGACATATCTTTAAGGTGCTTCTATTAGAAAAGAAGAATGATTTTAAAGTCAGCAATCTAATTTTTCCACCGTGAGACATTAAGAAGCTAGAACAAGTGAAGCAAATTAAACCCATAGCAGAATGAAGGAAATAATAAGGATTAGAAATCAATGAAATATACATAAATATAATTTAAGATGCCAAAAATTGCTTCTTTGAAAAGATTAATAAAATCGATAATTAGTAGGAAAGACCTTAATTGACTAACACACATACAATCCCTTTACAAAACTTTCCAGATCTGAAGTATCCTGTAATTCAGAATTTTAGGTTTTAGATTCTGCCCTGCATATACTGTGTATTATATTATTTCCTCAGAGAGGTCTGGGTAGCAACCTGCAATCAAACACATTAATATTTCTACAGTGAAATGCATAAGTAGTCACTTTAAGAAGAATAAAGACTATCAATAGCCTCATCTCAACTTGGTGGCAAAAATTCCAAAACAAATTGGATATTAGAGGGTCTTTTAAAAAATATTTGAAATGTAGAATTGCTATTGTGGATTTGTAATTAATGGATTACTTCTTTTTATAGATAGGTCTTCTATGTCCCTACACATATGACAGTGCCCTATTAAAAAATCTTAAGGGATGACTTTCTTAGCTAAGATCACAGGATGATTTTTTTTCTCTTACATGAGACTTGAGGGTCAAAATATTTAGTAAATCTAATGATCTTTGCCTAGATTTAAAAAGAGGATATTAGACTTCCAGGGAACTAAGCTCTTGGTCAAAGAGGACAGGAATTGCAGGGGAAAAAGCATATTCTCTTCTAACATATAATTTTATAGTGAAATAACAAAATCATCAAATTTCCACACACATAATAGTAAATAGTGATATATACAAAACTGAAAATATCCTTGGAATTCCACACAACAAGCATTTGTACTTTCTGTTGTAAAACTCAGGCAAATTCTACACGGAATAAATTTTAAGTCAACAATGAAAAAAGCTTAAATCATATTTATAAAAGTAATTTCATGCCTTATTTAAAATAATCTTAGCAAAAAAATTATTGGCCCAATTCTCTCATTGTCATCTCCAACTGTAGGGAAACCCAATTCTACAAGTCTAGTCCTTAAATCTCAGGAAGACCATAATAGGAAGAACAGTAATGGAACAGTATTCACAGCAATAATTGCAGAATTTCCTTTAAAGCCCATGCAATACTCCCAGAGGTGCTAATTGGAGCCATGCATGCATTAAATCAGATACATGTACTTACTATTACTGCTACTGCTGTCATTCCTAAGGGAGTTGGCTGCAACAGGGGGTAACATAAATGGTTTTGTGACACTGACTCTGGAATCTAAATAGAAAGCAATAATGTGTCAGTGTTGCACGGTGATTTACATAAATTACAGAGTCCCCAAAAGGCCGAGTGCAATACCAGAGTATTTTTCAGGTCTACTTCCCAAATCTCAATGATTCATATCCTATTTATTTCATCCTGGGTCTTGCTGTTATATTTTTATTAAGAAGTTCACCAGTCACCTTATAGAACAAAGATTCATTGTCTATACAGGCCGATAAATGTAAAATTACAAATTGTTCATAATTGGCCATTTAAAAGAAAAGCACTGTAATTACGATTTTGTATTATAGGAACCCTGGGGAGGGGTGGGGGAGAAAGAGTCTCAAGAGAGAGTAACTAGTGAAGACCAGAATTCATGCCTCAGAGTTATATCCTTTAGAAAAGAATTGAGACGGAGACATAAGAAGATGGGAGGTGAAGAATTGTAAATTACTGGCAAATGGCAGATAAGAAAAACATGAGTGACTATCTCGTTCATTGTTTACTCACACACAATTCTTTAATCTGACAATCATTAATTGTTTTGGCTTGAAAAACAAATCTATAACCATTTCTTTTATGCTCGACATTTGCTTTTATATTAGACAAAACACACATACGTCTTTCTCTAACTACACATATATTTATTCAGAGGTAGGTTCTTACCTACACATATGAGAATCAAGCTTGCTTTTATAGTTAAATTAGAAAATCTTATATGCCTTACCATTGTCAGGACTTAATGTTGAAGAAAACACACATTCGCTAGTTTTAGATGACACCATCTCCAAGTCCTTGAAGGCATTGATGGATCTATTAAAAATTCTAAAGAATTCTTCAGGAGCAAACATCTTGAGTTCTAGGCTGTTAGATGACTTTTTTACATTCTAGAAGAAGACAAAAACAGGATTATATTTTTCAAAGAGTCTACAGATTTTAACTGATGGCAAAGTAAAAGACTATGTCCTTCAATGATGCAAGGAAAACGAGCTCTCTTAGACAATTTTGTTAATATACATAATTCACATAGGTACAGCAGGATAGTGATCCCGTCAAGTTTAGTCTGAGGCTCAACTCCAGATAAAAGGAATAGGGTGGGCAGGTGAATTCAACATCATAACAATAAAATAATCCTAACAACAAATTAGAGATATTGCTCTTTTAAGATGCTCATTAAAATCATCATTCCTTACTAAAAAAAAACACAGACCTCTATAACACAGTTGATGCTAAATATTGGCAAGGACATGGATGGAGCTAAGGGACTCTTACAAATTGATGGAATGATGTAAATTTGGCAGGTTTGATACTAGCTGTAAAGTTGGACATGTGCCCATCCTGTGACCCAGAAATTCCACTCCTAGGTAAGGCCTCTAGTGAAGCTTTTGCATTTCTGTACCATGAGACATACAGGAAAGTTCTTACCAGCAGTGTCTATAAATCAACAGGAGAATGGCTTAATCAATAGTGGTATGTTCAATCAATGGAATACTATATAAGCAGTAAAAAAGTAACCACAGCTATATAGATCAAAGTGCGTAAATCTTATAAACATGATGCTCATGAAAGAAGTCACAAAAGAATAAAGAATATGATTAAGTTCTAAAGTCCCCCTAAAAGCAGATCAAAGCTATATTTTAGGAATTCACAAATGCATGATTATCTATAAAGAAAATCAGGAAATAATACGAGTTAACACTTATGTAGCACTTACTATGTACCTCTCTAATTGCTCTATATATGTTTACTCAATCTCCAAAACAACTGAGAAATACCTCCTGGTATGAATCTCCTGGGTTCCAGCCAAAGCATCATGATGATTAAAGGCACATTCTTTGGTATTTGGAATGTTCTTCCTGACATCTCCATTTACTGAACACCTAACTCATCTTTCAAGCTCCACTGCATATATTATTTCCTTTATGACACCTTGTCTGATATACCCTACCTATTATCAATGCCATCAGCACACAATACTAATATGATATAAAAAGAGATGTTAATTCTAAGATGTTATTTATTATAAGACTAGAGGCCCAGTGCATGAATTCCTGCACAGGTAGGGTCTGGCTGGCCTGCCCTGATTGGGGCTGATTGTGGCTGATCGGGCTGGGCCGCCAGGAGAAGGGGACGCGGAAGGTTGGCTGGCCGCCCCCCCCCCCATTGGGTTGGGGGGGCTCATTGGGGGCAGGGTTGGCCAGGTGGAGGGGCTGCAGGCAGTTGGCCAGCCAGCCCTGCCCCCTGGTCAAACTCCCAGTCGAGGGGACAATTTGCATATTAGCCTTTTATTATATAGGACTAGAGGCCCAGTGCATGGATTCATGGATTCATGCACTGGTGGGATCCCTCGGCGTGGCCTGAGGGGATTGGGCTGAAACCGGCAGTCCAACATCCTCCCAAGGGATGCAGTAGTGTGTGAAGTGGCAGGTGGCCAGGGAGGAGCCCGAGCCCAGGCCAGGTGTTGCGCCAATCCTGCTCATCCTGGCCCCGCTGTGCCTGCCATTGCTGCTGCTTGGTAGGCTCACTGCCACTCTGCTGCAGTCTCTGTGTGCCCGTCCTAGGGCGATATCAGCACGGCCATGACCAACAAGCGGCTGCCATCTTGCGCCCAGTCAGTCCTGATGCCGATCCTGATCCTGGTCCGGTCTGGACTGGGGAGAGGCGTTCAGGGGGAGTGTCTGCGGGAGAGGCTCATGCCACCACAGCTGCACTCACAAGCTGTGAGCCTGGCATCTGGCGCCCGTCGGTCATGGGTCATGAGCAGCAGTCCCTCTGTGGGAGTGCACCGACCACCAGGAGGCAGCTCCTGCATTGAGTGTCTGCCCCCTGGTGGTCAGTGCGTGTCACAGCAACCAGTCGAACGGTCGAGCAGTCACTTAGGCTTTTATATATATAGATACATTCTGACTCAGAAATGAGAAGTGAATAAATATAGTGATTAGGTTTACTAGCATGACAAGAATTCTGAGATTGGAGAACACAAATAGGACTGATATTGGGCCTTACAGTGTAACTGGAATGTTGATGATGAGGAAGTATTTGAGCATTGTGGTACAGAATCATATTTAAAATCATAGGTTTAAACTTCTAAAAAGCCTGTAGGCTAAACCTGGGCTTGTGAATTCTATGCCCAAGCATATCTCCCGAATCCTATTCTATTATAGATTCAAAGTTATAAAATCATCATCATAAAAATATGTATTAATCTTAATTTTGCCAGATACAGTGCTAAAGCACTCATCACAAACCATCTCATGTCAACTCTACTAAAGTTCACAAAGCTAATTAGTGACCAAGTCAGGATCTGAACTCCAACACCTTGTACTATACTTAATCCTAGTGTCTCTTCAATATGCTTAGAACCCAAATTATTGCCATGCCCATATTCTGAAGTTGACAACAACTAATCAGAAAATGACTTGGAGATACTAAAATGCACTTCTTTGTTATGACGTGATTACTATGGATAAGAGTCAAGTTTAAATGTTCATTACAGACAATTTTCCATTTAAAGGTAAATGAACATTTGTAACCTAATAGAAAAGTTACGATAATTTAATTCACTTATGAAATACAGATAAAATTAGGGCTGGTTTTACATTGTAGTATAAATCAATTTTTACATTAAATGACAACTTTTAAGTGTTAGTGTATATTAGAACACTGCAGTATAACTACAAACATGTATTTCTGTACTCATCTTTCAAAATATTTTTAAATTACAAATTTATACATTAATAATCACACAAACGAAGATGCCCCATCCCCACCACCACCATCAATATAGGTTTTAGAGGAGAGTAGTAGAAACCAATCCCAGTGAATATAAGGTTACCTCCAATGGGTGTTCTTCCATGCACTCCACAAGGTCATCTACTATTTTCACAAGTTTGTCTATGATAGAATAATTACTCAAGCCTTCAGAAATATTTGAAAACTTGTCCAGAAGATCAGTCAAGCTGACTGACAATTGCTCCACCATTTTGCTTATCCAACAATGACTAGGCTGCAAGAAATTGAAAGAGAGAAAGATAAAGCATCTGTTTAAATACAGTCAACTAGGAGTATCCTTCAAAGACATCAGTGCTGCAGTCATTGACTGCCAGATAAAAGATTTCCTTATATTAGAACAGGTCAGTTCTTGTGTTCTGTTTAATTCAGATCTAACATTTATTTCAAAATTTACAAATGCATATAGATTAGAGGAAAGTGTTGATGGTAAACATTTTTCTCTTTCATGGAAGTAAATTAAGGTAAGACAGAGCCAACTCTTACCCTTGACAAAATTCAGATAGTAATGGAATTAACATTACACCAAGCATGGAGCCCCACTGAAAAATATGTATTCTGTACTCAATGTGTTCTTAAAAGAGCTTTAGGTACAATGGGACTTACAAAACACTATTGTGTGAGAGTCCTAGTCCTTAAGGAACTTCTAGTCTTTTGGTGAATGGAAGATAAAACAATCTATAATAATAAAAGCATAGTATTCTAATTAGACCGGACAGCCAAATGACCTTCTGGATGTCATTCCGGACGTCCTTCCGGATGAAGCCGCGGTGGCAGGAGCCGAGGAAGAGGAGGTTAGGGGTGATCAGGCAGACAGGCGAGCAGTTAGGGGTGATCAGGCAGACAGGCGAGCAGCTAGGGGCAATCAGGCAGGCAGGCAGAGGGGTTAGGGGGGATCAGGCAGACAGGCGAGCAGTTAGGGGTGATCAGGCAGGCAGGCAAGTGGTTAGGAGTGATGAGGCAGGCATGCAGGCAGGCCAGCAGTTAGAAGCCAGTGGTCCTGGATTGCAAGAGGGGTCTTGGATTGTGAGAGGGTGCAGGCTGCGCTGAAGAGCGCTACCCCCCCAACTCCCCCCGCCCCCAATGCATGAATTTCATGTACCGGGCCTCTAGCAGACTAATAATAGCTGATTTTCCTAGAGTGATAGATTTCAAGCCTCCTTCATAGATGAGTTCCTTTTTTAAAAAAGAAAAAAAATTTGGTAGAAATGTGATCTGAGAGAGAAGCACTTTTGCCTTAGTGAAAGGGCCAACTACATAATTTTGAGGGCCAACAGCAAAATGAAAATTTATTTATTATTCAAAAACTCATCTAAAAAATGATTAAGAATTTCAAGATGGTGACAGAAGAACATTACACCAAGCATGGAGCCCCACCTGTGAAGCCAGCCCAGCCCACTGGTCAAAGGCTCAAGCCTTGGAGTCAGGCATAACCGGGTTCAATTCAGCCGAGAGACTGCAGGTAAGCCACACAAATTTTCTGAACCTCAGTTTGCCTATACTAGTATATGGAATGGGAATAATGGAACAGGGCAGTAGTGAGGTGATAATGTATATAATTTGAATGTAAGTTTCATGAGGGCAGGATTTTTATAAAATCTTGTTCCCAACTGTGTCACAAGGGCCTAGAACAGTGTCTGGCATATGGGAGTTGCTCAGAAACTATTTGCTGATCTGATGCAGGAATGACTAAAGAAATAAATGAATGAGAAAAAATGTATCAGGGGGCCACACCTTCTGCAAAGGCCTAGATAGTAAATATTTTAGACTCTGCATGCCAAGAGGCAAAAATCAAGGATAGTATTCAGGTATGTTTACAGAACGGAAAACAAATTTTCACAAAAATTTTATCACAAGATTAAAAATGTAATAATTGAATATGACTTCTTTTGCATAATAATTGAATTTAATTTTCTGTGTAATACAGGTGTATCAACAAGAATAATAGAATTCTCTATTTGAGGTCAACATTTTGCTCATTTGGGGATCAAAAGTCAGCATTCTCTATCATCATATAGACCACAAGTGTTCATCTATAAAAACCAATCCCAGCTGGCTGGCTATGCAGAATCAAGCAGCAGACTAGATCTGGCCTACACAGTATAGCTGCTATAAATGGGTGGGGATCAACAGAGGTTTAGATGATTAGGAAAAACTTCTTAGTATATTAGAATGGATTCTCATAGTTCTTAAATTAATGTGGTGTTATTTAAAATTAGTAATTGATCATAAGTTGAGATATTTCACATATTTTAAGATACATTTTCTGTAAGTAGAGGCTCCGATTTCTTTTTTTAACTGTGCTTAAATATTACAGTGAGGAGAATAAGGCAACGAGTGGGGATAGCTAAAATTGACTTGGCTTATTAAGATCCTAAATAATTTACTATATCTTCTATAATCTATTGTATTGGAATGATATAGAGTAACTGATGCCATGTAAAATGAATCAAACCACTAAACTTTATTTTTCTATTTACTAGCAAAGTATCTCTGTGGAGGAAAGTCAAGTAATTTATTTATTCTAAGTTAGATATTGGGGCCATTTTAGATTTATTTAACAGAACAATTTCAATTAATATAATGCAGACAAAAAAGAAACTGGTTTATCCATACATAGGTAAGCTCCAATTCCTGGAAGCATTAAATGTCATTTAAAAGTTTTGGGTTTGAGAGTTGGGGGGCCAGGGGGATGGAGGAATTGAACAAAAAAAGAAAAAATTGAGAAAAAGCTCATGGATTTGGACAACAGTGTGGTTATTGCAGGGGTGGGAATTTGGGGGGAGGTGGAGGAGGGTATAAGGCAGGGGTGGGCAAACTTTTTGACTCAAGGGCCACAATGGGTTCTTAAACTGGACCGGAGGGCCGGAACAAAAGCATGGATGGAGTGTTTGTGTGAACTAATATAAATTCAAAGTAAACATCATTACATAAAAGGGTACGGTCTTTTTTTTTTTTTTTAGTTTTATTCATTTCAAACGGGCCGAATCCAGCCCGCGGGCCGTAGTTTGCCCACGGCTGGTATAAGGGGTATAAATGGTGATGGACGGAGACTTGACTTGGGGTGGTGAACACACAATTCAGTGTACAGAAGATGTGTTGTGGAGTTGTGCACCTGAAACCTGTATAATTTTGTTAACCAGCGTCACCCCCAATAAAATCAATAAAAAAGAAAAAAAAAAGCATCTCACATTTAACGTGTCCTGACTCTACTCTTCCCCTTCTACATCACATCTCAGCCTAATCGCAATCAGTTTCCAAATCTGTCAGTTCTACCATTTTACAGTCTCCCAAATCTATGCCTTGTTCTGCCTGCTGTAGGGCTAGATTACAACCTCCTTTCCTTTCTACCCCTTTCACAAAACAAACAAACAAACAAACAAACAAACAAACAAATAAAAACTTTTAGAATTGTTGGCTCTGGCTTCATTTAAGTAGAATAAACAAACCACCAGTGTGCATTAATTCAATTAGGCCACTTCATTCAACTCATCAACCAAGTTCTTAAAGACTATGTGTTTCCAAGAATGTTCAGAATGGATTCTTTGTTTTGTTAAATCAATGCTTATGCTTATCTCAAGCAACTGCAAGTTCATATTTGCACCATTTACAAGTCACTTTCCAAGCTGTCAGTCTTTCCTTTGGGGCAGAACTGCTCTCCAAGTTTCTCTCATTTAGACAGTGACAACTACCTTTATATAGTCAGCCCTATCAGCAAGGGTTGGGATTCCTAACATATGGAATACAGCACATACTAGGAGTACAGGTTGAATAGTATTTACATGGCAGAACAGCCTTTACCAATTAGTTCACTCCATTGTAACTGTGCAAATTTTTTTGTGGTAAGCAAATCCACATATTAATATCTTTAAACTCCTTTCTTGCTCTACTTTCTGAATACACTCTGCCTATCCTCCTCTTGGGTCTTCTGACATGTAGGAACCAAAATTATATTCCCTTGTTTTGAATTGAACTAAGGGCCTCCTTTTGTTACTGTGGTCTTTTTTTTTTTTCTTTTTCTGTGGTTAAAGTAAAAAATATTTTGTATCCATGTATCTTATTTTTACACTGGGGAATGCCAGTGCTTACAGACACTTCTGTTTATCTCTCTTTTCATCTGAACTCCATGTTTACATTCTGTGTTCAAGTTCTCATTTATCTATAACCACACTTCCCATTTTCACATACCGAATCAACAGTCCAAACAATCAACCTTTTCCAGTAAAATTTTCAACTCTAAAGCTGTAATTTTTTGCAGTTTAATCATGAAACGTCCACTACCTACTCCTACCCCAGTATCCGTCCTTTTAAAGTAATGAACAATTCGTTGCTAGCTGATAAGATATGAACTTCTGGACTCTACTGCTGAAAAATATATTTCTAAAAGTTTTGCAATTGTATTTCATTCATTATTCATTCTTGCCACAATTTCATTGGAAAAGGTTGTATAATAAATTCAAAGTTGTATCTTTCCCTTAATTTGTTTAAATAGTTACATTTTAGCTTTTCAAAATTCTTGGATTTATTAAAGCTAAAACTGAGACAAGTAAATAATATTAAATATCAGCCAGTTTTGACCTGTCTGCCTGCAGGAGAGGTAACCAGTTTTTACTAGAATGTCAAGCAGTTTCGTATTTTCTTTTTAATTAAATATAGTCAATGATTTGCAAAGAGAACAAAACATGGCCAACTGAATATTTCACTTGTGAGTTAATAGGTCTTTCTATTTTTCAACTCTTTCAAGATTATGATTAAGAAATGGGAGATTAAAGGTTGTGAAGTTCACAGATGTAATTTTTTTCTTTGCCTTAGTCACAGGCATGATGGTCACTATTTCTTATATTTCAGAGACCATTTTAAATGTAAATAGTTCTTTATAAATATGAACTCACAGCATTCATTAGAAGAATGTATGATATAAATACCATTCTTTCACTAGTAGACGAATGTGAAGGCTTAGGAAAGTTGATAAAGCCATGCAGGATGTCATAGCAGCAATGTAAAGACTACCTTTCAAATCCCTGAAGTTCATATAACTGAGTTTTATTCAGCCATATACATACAAAAAGAAATATAGTCTTTGCTTTGAAAGGGAAAATATGTCTGGATTTTCCCTAACTCCATAGTCTCAATTTATTACCTTCTTTCTTGGTGGCTTCTGTCTTACATTTTCTGGGTAAATTATAGCAGTTCTAGGTAGGACTACTAAAACAACAT